CCATCGGTGTGGGAGTCGGAAACAGATGGCCCCGGACAGGCCGTTTGTTGTCACCGCGAGGCCCGTGCTTCCCCGGACGGACGGAGAGGGAGGAATGCGGTGACTCACGCCCAGGAATGCCGAGCGGCCGCTGCTTTTTCTGGTTTTTCTTGTGTGTGTGTGTGTGTGTGTGTGTGTGTCTGTGTGTGAGGGGGGGGGGGTGTTGTTTTTTTGGCTGCCCACCTTGTATCTGCTCTCCATCGCAGCCCCGCGGTCGGCAAACCGCGGCTCGCGAGCCACCGGCGGCTCCGGGGCCCCTGCAGGGCGGCTCTTCCACGGAACGCCACGGCCCAGGCGGGTCTGTGTGGGGGACGTGGCGTGGGAGGACTTTTACGTTTAAAAAAACGTGGCTCTCCAGAGACGTGTCCGTCGTGGAGCTGGTGGTGTCGGCTCTGCGGACGGAGGGGTTTGCCGACCTCGGCGTTAGGATAATTGCGTGGAGGGGAGCGTCTTTTCCGTTTGGGGGGACGGGGCCCCGAGTCTGCTTCTAAGCGGAGGGAGCCTGGTCCGTGGCCGACGGGAAGCGGGAGGGGTCTCGCTTGGAGGGGAGAAGCCAGGGCGATGCATGGCGGTTCTGTTAACAGCCCCCTCCCCATCTTCTTGTTTATTTCCTTTGTGTTTTTAAATATAGTTTACTGATTCTTTACAGAGAGGAGGGGAGAGGGAGAGAGAGCCAGAAACATCGATGAGAGAGAAACATCCATCAGCTGCCTCCTGCACGCCCCCCACTGGGGATGTGCCTGCCACCAAGGCACATGCCCTTGGCGGGAATCGAACCCGGGACCCTTCAGTCCGCAGGCCGACGCTCTATCCACTGAGCCACACCGGTGAGGGCACTTTTTCTCTCCCCCCCCCCCCCCGCCTTACATGAGACATAACTCGCCACGGCGATGCGCCTTCCTGAGTGGTGTCACGTCTCCAGAAACCCTAACCGCCCGCTCCCCCCACCCCCGCCCCAACACCCCCACCAGCACAAGGATAAACCCGCCACCTGCATACAGCTTCCTCTCTCCCTTCCTCACTGTCACGCCTCGGCCCTCGGAGGAGCAGCTGAAACAGCAGCGGCTGCCCTGGCCAGTGTGGCTCAGTGGGTAGGGCATCGCCCTGCAGACCCAACGGTCCCGGGTTCGATCCCGCTCAAGGGCACGTCCCTCGGTGGCAGGCTCCTCCCCGGCCCAGGGCCCCACCCGGACGAGGCTGGTGCTGGAGGCGGCAACTCATTAACTCTCTGTGGACACTTCTCTCTGTCTTTCCCTCTCTCTAAAGATCGCTGGGAAAGTACCCTCAAGGGTAGGATAAAATAATAATAATAATAATAATAATAATAATAATAATAATAATAGCTGAAACCGGTGTGGCTCAGTGGATAGAGCATCAGCCTGAGGACTGAAAGGTCCCGGGTTCGATTCCGCTCAAGGGCATGGACCTTGGTTGCGGGCACATCCCCAGTAGTAGGCGGCTGATCGATGTTTGTAACTATCTCTCTCCCTTTCTCTCTGTAAAAAATCAATAAAATATATATATATATATATTTTTTTTAATTTAAAAAATAATAATAATAGTAAAACAGCCGGCGCCCCAACCCCCTCCCCGGCTCCCTTTCCTGCCGTCCCCATCCTGCCTGTGCCTCCGTCCCCGTGACCAGGGTGAGAGCCGACAGGGTGGCCGATCCCGGCACGCCCAGCCGGAGGCGGCAGCAGCCAGGAGCCGGCATCTGGGGTGTGGGGGAGCCCCCCGGGCCCCGAGCCCCAGGGCCGCCCTCGGAGCTGGCCGGAGGGGATTTCCACCAGGAGGCCCGGCCCGGCCCGGCCCGGTCACTGTCCACGCTGGAGCCCCCGAGTCCGTCTGCGGTCCCCCGCGCGTCCTCCCCGCCGTGTCACCGAGGTCAGCGGCTGGCGGTGACAAACGGCCCTCGCCCCGCGCCGCGGGCAGGCATTTGTCAGGCCCCCGGGCCATTGCCTCTGAGTTATGGCGGCGGCCGCTCGCGGCTCCGGGCGGCGGTGACGGGGGCCGGCGGCCGCCAAGGGCAGGGTCGCTCCGGCTGAAGGACGCGGGAACAGGTGGAAGGTTAATGGCGCCGCGGCCGCCCGCGCGCGCGGCGTGATGTATGGGCCGCGGCCCGCGCGCGATCGGCGCCGGAGATATATTATTCCATTTGGGAGCGGCGCGCCCCGGCCGCTGATGGATGGCCGCCGTCCGCCGCGGCTGCTGGCGGGGCCGCGGGCCCCGCGCCCGACATGAAAATTGTGCTGAGCTCCGGGCTTTCCCTCCCGACCATCGGACGGAACGGACGGCCCGGCTGCCTTCGGGGAGGGGCCCGGGTGGGGCCGGGGCGGCGGCAGCTGCTGCTTTATTATTATTTTTTTTAAAATATGTTGTATTGATTTTTACAGAGAGGAAGGGAGAGGGACAGAGAGCTAGAAACATCGATGAGAGAGAAACATCCGTCAGCTGCCTCCTGCACGCCCCCCACTGGGGATGTGCCCGCCACCAAGGTACATGCCCCTGACCGGAATCGAACCCGGGACCCTCCAGTCCGCAGGCCGACGCTCTATCCACTGAGCCGCACCGGCTTCGGCGACTTTTAACCCTCTCCCCAGGGTATCTTCCCCGTGATCTTCAGAGAGAGGGGAAGACGGAGAGAAACACCGACGGAGAGAAGACGCACGCCCATGGCCTGCCTCCTGCTTGACTCCTGGGCTGGGCAGGAGCCGGCCCCTGAGGGACATGCCCTGGAGCGGGATCGAACCCGGGACCGTTCGGTCCGCGTGGCCGGCCACGCTACCCACTGAGCAGCACTAGCCGGGGCGGCTGCTGCTTATTTCGGCCATTCCTCTCGAACCCGGAGCCAAGGGGGGTGAGAGAGGCGCGTGCCTTCATTCCCACGGAACGGGGGAAGGAGGGCAGCACCCCAGAAAGCAGGGGGAAGGGGTGGGAGGGTGAGTGGGTGGTTCAGGGGGCAGTGGCCTTGGTGTTCAAACATTGCTCACTGGTGCGGCTGAGCGTGGACCTGTGAACCAGGAGGTCGGGGTTCGGTTCCCGGACGGGGCACAGGCCCGGGTGGCCGGCTCCAGCCCCAGTGGGGGGCGTGCGGGAGGCAGCCGGTCCCTGATTCTCTCTCCTCCTGGACGTTTCTCTCTCTCTCCCTCTCCCTGCCTCTCTGACGTCCACAAAAACATAGTTTTAAACACCGACAACACGCACGCAGGTGCGTCGCTGGGGTGGGAGGGAGGCGCGGCCGCTTTCAGGTTTCCCCTCGTGTCGTGTTTCCCGAATGGCCCTGAGGAGAGGCGGGGACGGAGAGGGGGGAGGCGGGAGGGGAGGCGGGAGGGGAGACGGGCCGTCCGGAAAAGAAGCTTTTGCAGAAAAACCCCGGGCGGGGCTCCTAGCAAGCTGCGCCCGAGGGCTCTGACTGCACCAGGGAGGCCAACCGGCTGCTGGTGCAGGGCCCCGGCCGCTGGTGCCCGGCCTGGAATGAGCCCAGAGCGGCCTCTGCCGGGCTGAGTGCCCCCGAGTCCGTGGCCCCCCCCTGGCCCCCGCCTTCGAGGCCCACGGAGCCGGTCGAACCCGCGCCAAGCCTGGGGGCCAGCGGCTGCGGAGCTGTGGCCGGGAGCCAGGGCCGGCTTTTAAATGTGATGGTGAGACCGGTGTGGCTCAGTGGATAGGGCGTCGGCCTGCGGACGGAAGGGTCCCGCTGGGTTCAATTCCGGGCGCCTGGCCCAACCATCTCCCCCCAATAAACCTACCCCGCCCCCCGCCGGGGCATGGGTCCTGGGTCTCTGCCTCGGGGAGCTCGTGGGGAGCACAGAGGACGCCCAGCCTGCACATCTGTCAGGGCCCCGGCCCCCAGGCTCCCAGGGCCACCTGCCCGCCCAGCGATGACTCCACTCGAGGCCGGGACCCTCCAGAGCCGGGAAGCCATGGTGGTCTCCAACCCTCGGGGCCGCTTATTGTTGCAAAATTAGAATAACAAATGCTGCCGCCCCCCCACACACACCCGAGGCCTGAGCTCCCTCCCTCCCTCCCTCCACCGGGGCCTCCTCGCTCCCGGCTCCGCCATCCACCTCACAGCCCCCGAGGGCCCGCCGTGCGGTGCGTGTGAGCGTGCAATCACCCGCGTTACCGAAACACGCTCGTTAGCGCTCCGAGCCGCCGGCTTAACGACGCCCTTAATTAAATCCTGACGAGCCCGAGGTCACGGGTGGGAGAGGGGGAGGGGAGGCGGGGGAGGGGCCGGTTCCCAGCAGGAGGCGGGAGCTCTGGTTTCCTGGTGCACAGAGCGCTCGCGCGCGCTCGCCCTCTCTCTCTCTCTCTCTCTCTCTCTCTCTCTCTCTCTCTCTCTCTCTCTCTCTCGGCCTGAATGCCCCCCTGGGGGAGGGACGGCCCGGAGAGAGGGGACGCCCCCCGCCCTCAGCCTGTCTGAGGGAGGACGTTTGTTCGTCATCCTCGGCCTCGGAAAACCTCGGGCCACGGGGACCAGGCTGAACGGCAGCCAGGGTGCGAGCCGCGCTTCGTAAAGACAGAGGGCCTTCCATTCGGGGCGCCCCGGCCTGTCTGCGCGCAGACAGCCCCCCCACCTCCCCCCGGAACAAAACCGTTACTTCTCCGCTGTCCTTAGGGGGCGGTGCGCACCCGGATGCTCCGCATCCGTGAGGGACGGGTTTCCCGTTTGTCGTTGTCCTGGCCGGTGAGGCTCAGCGGATGGAGCGCCCGCCTGGGGACGGGAGGGTCCCGGGTTCGACGCCGGTCAAGGGCGCATGCCCAGGTTGTGGGCTCCATCTCTCTCACCATTCATGCTTCTATCTCTCCCTCTTTTGTGTGTGTATATATATACACACACACACACACATTTATATATTTTAAAATAACAATAAAATTACGGGGAGGGGCAGGGGCTGGGGGAGGAACCTGGGAGAGGGGGAAATTTCCTGGGGGCTCACGGGGGGCGTCTGTCTCGGCAGGTGGACGACCAGATGAAGCTGCTGCAGAACTGCTGGAGTGAGCTGCTCATCCTGGACCACCTCTTCCGGCAGGTGGTGCACGGGAAGGACGGCTGCATCGCGCTGGTTACCGGGCAACAGGTGGGTGCGGGGGGGGGGGGGTGCAGGAGGGGGAAGAGGAGGAGGGGGAGGGGGCGGAGGAGGGGCCAGGAGCCCCCTGTGCGTGGAGGGGGCGGACGGCGGCGGGGGTGGGGGGCGAGGGGGGAGGCAGGAAATCCCGCAGGCGCCCGTGTCCGGTGGGACGGTCACCAGGGACCTGTCCGGCCTGCGGGGCTCCGAGGGCCCGAACAACCACTGGGTCAGAATCTGCAATCAGCCCGGCCGGCGTGGCTCAGGGGTGAGCCTCTGCCTAGGAGCCAGGAGGCCAGGGTGCGAGTCCCCGTCCAGGGCACAGGCCCGGGCTGCGGGCTCCATCCTAATTCCGGGGCGTGCAGGAGGCAGCCGGCCCGTGGTTCTCCCCCGCCCTGGATGTTTCTGCCGCTCTCGCCCTGCCTCTCAGAAATCAATAAAAAAAAAAAACATTTTTTTAAAAAATGAGAATAAATGAAGGCGGACTCGGTGTCCTGGTAAGTGGACGGCTCGGCCTCGGCCTGGCTCCAGCGTCCGGCCGGCCACCAATGGCGTTTTGTTTGTTTTTCTAATCCTCCCCCGAGGGTATTTTCGCATTGATTTTTAGAGAGAGCGGCAGAGAGCGGCGGAGAGACAGACAGAGAGAGAAGCATCCATGTGAGAGAGACACGCCGATGGGCTGCCTCCTGCGTGGCCTGGGCCTGGGACTGACCTTGCCGCCCAGGCACAGGCCCTCGACCGGAATCGAAACCGGAACCTTGTAGCCCTCAGCTTGGCGCCCCACCCACTGAGCCACACCAGCCGGGGCACGTGTGTGTGTGTGTGTGTGTGTGTATGTGTGTGTGTGTGTGTGTGTGGAACCGCAGCAGCACGGATCTGCAGGGAGAGGCCGCCTCCACCCCCATCCCTGCCCCCTCCCTCCCTCTTCCCCCTCTCCTTGCCCTCCCTGCCTCCTCCCTCCCTCCCTCTTTCCCTCCTCCTCCTCTCCCTGCCTCCTCCCTCCCTCCCTCTCTCTACCCCCCGCCCCTCCCTGCCCACCGGGAGCCGCATTGGAAGAACAGACTCGGCCACAAATTAATGTGATTTCCTTTCCTCGGCGGGCAGCTCAGCGATGGAGCGGCTGAGCCTGCTCCTCCGAGCGCCCAGGCCGGCCCCTTGGAAACGGCCTCCCCCGTGCTCACTCCCCTAAGTGCTGCCGGGCGGACAATTACCGCTGAGCGGGAAGGCACGGCCTGTCTCCGGGGCCGGCCGCGGAGGGGCGGGGGGCGGGGGGCTCTGGGCCTGGCTGCCCAGGTCCTGGCATCACCAGCGGGAGGAGGGGACCCCCTGAGGGGGGGCCGCCCCGCACCTGAACCCCGGCCCGATTCCTCTAGCTCTTTCTTTCCCCTACAGGGGCGGCCAGATGATGATGATCTCTGAACCCATAAGAATCTGGCCACTCAGTGAGAGAGAGTGTGTGTGTGTGTGTGTGTGTGTGTGTGTGTGTGTGGTAGAGGCCCGGTGCATGAATGCGTGCACGGGTGGGGTCCGGCCAGCCTGGCCAGGGGGAGGGGACGTGGGCGGCTGGCCGGCCTGCCTGCTGGTCACACGCCTGGTCGAGGGGACCATTTGCATATTGGCCTTTTATTCTATAGGATGTGCGCTGAGTGGCTAGGCTATTATGTGTTTAGAGACCATAACAATCAGGCCACTCGGTGTGGATAAGGCGCCCACAAAAACGTAGGCACACGTTCACTGCTGATAATGCACTTGATTTTGAAAAGGACCTGCGTGTTAACCAACACTGATTGTATAATCATTCAACGTGTGTGTGTATACGCGCGCGCACGCACACACACACACACACGCCTTTTTTTATTTTACCACTCTGGCCACTCAGTGTATATTTTTTTAATTACTGACTTCAGAGAGGAGGGGAGGGGAGAGAGACAGAGACACCCATGATGAGAGAGCATCACGGACCGGCTGCCTCCCGCACGCCCCCCACTGGGGACGGAGCCCGCACCCCGGGCCTGTGCCCCGACCGGGAATCGAACCCTGGCCTCCTGGCTCCTGGGTCGATGCTCCGCCCCGGAGCCACGCGGCCGGGCCGTGAGCTGGGCAGGCAGTGGCCGCACGGTGTGTGCCTGTCCCAGCCCAGCTGTCCGCGTCCTGGTTCGCCAGAGGCAGAAGCCAGAGCCGCTGGTCTGAGACCCTGATGCTGAGACGGGAGGGCGGAGGCCGGCCCGGCCGCCCCGGGGGACCGCTCCCCACGCAGCCGACTCCCCGCACACTGACGGACGCCTTCGGGGGGGCCCCCCCCGGACGCACCCCTTCCCTCGCTCTCGCGGACACGGGCGCTCTCGGCGGAGGCTGAACATCAGACTCATCATCTTCACACAATGAGGAGTCGCATCCATTCCGCCTCCTGTTTTAATTGCAAATTCCACTCCGGGGACCGGTCCCTCCTGCCCCGGAGGCAGCCCGCGCCGCTCTCCCGTAGACGCGAGGGCAGTCAATTATGCTAATGAAATGTCGATAAATATAAAAATTTCATGCACGCGGGCCAGGGCGGGCGGGCCAGGGCGGGCGGGGCCCCTCGGCCTCCCGGGCAGGCTGTGCGGCTGCTGCTGCTGCTGCTGCTGCTGCAATATTAACGGCCGGCGGGACCGCGTGCCAGAGCAGCGGGCAGACCGGACGGGCGCCGGTCCACACCGGCCGCCCCGGGCCCCTCAGCCACCCGGGTCCCCTTGTTATAAGGGAACTAACTTCCCGTCCCCGTGAGGAACCGATGACGGGGCACCAATTTTGTTTGGTTTTTATGGAAAAGGAAATCAGCCTTTTTCTGCTTTGTTTCCTCCACCGGGAAGTGGTTGTCCTCAGCCATCAGATCAGAGCCCGGCTGGTGTGGTGCGGACCCGAGGGTCCCAGGTTTGATTCTAGTCCAAGGCCTGTGCCCGGGTGGTGGGCTCCATCCCCAGGGCAGGAGGCCGCCGATGGGCGCTTCTCTCGCATCATGGATGTTTCTCTCTCTCTCTGAAGTCAATTTTAAAACATGTATTTAAAAAAAAAAAAAAAAAGCTTAATCTTAGGTGATGATGCAATTTCACAATAGAAAGAAAGGTGTGTGTGTGTGTGTGTGTGTGTGTGTGTGTCACACACACTTTGAATGACTGTAAAGTCAGTGTTGGTTAACATGCAGTTCATTCTCAAAATCAAGTGCCTTAGCAGCTGTTAACGTGTGTCTACATTTCCGGGGGCTCCTTATCTACACGGAGCGGCCAGAGGAGGATGGTCTCTGAACGCATCATCATCCGGGCACTCAGTGTACATCCTATATCATAAAAGGCTCCTATGCAAACGGTCCCCTCGACCAGGAGTGCGACCAGCAGGCAGGCCGGCCGACCGCCCACGTCCCCGCCCCCTGGCCAGGCTGGCCGGACCCCACCCATGCACGGATTCATGCACCGGGCCTCTGATATATATATATATGAGATATAAATATACATATCTATAGATAGATGATAGATACACACACACACGAGAGAGACGGAGAGATAGATATATAAATATAGATATCTATAGATAGATAGATAGAGAGACGGAGAGATAGATATATAAATATAGATATCTATAGATAGATAGATAGATAGATAGATAGATAGAAAGATAGATGGATGGATGGATAGATAGATAGATAGATAGATGGATGGATACACACACACACATACGAGAGAGAGACGGAGAGATAGATATATAAATATAGATATCTATAGATAGATAGAAAGATAGATGGATGGGTGGATGGATAGATAGATAGATACACACACACACACACTGAGTGGCCAGATGATTATGCGTTCAGAGATCATCCCCATCTGGCCGCTCCGAGTAGAGAGGCTGCAGTAAAAATCTAGCATTCAGTCCAAACCTGTTCCCTGCCAAGCCACGGACACGCCTCCATGTATCAGAACCGTCATGGTCCCTTTGGTGGTCCCGGCCGGCACGTGTCTCCTGCGGCCACGGGGCCCCTCACGCCGTTACACACGGCAGCGGCCTGTTCCACACACACACACACACACACACACACACACACACGGCAGCGGCCTGTTCCCCACACACACACACACACACACACACACACACACACACGGCAGCGGCCTGTTCCACACACACACACACACACACACACACACACACACACGGCAGCGGCCTGCCCCCCCTCCCCCCCCCCCACACACACACACACACACGGCAGCGGCCTGTTCCCCCCCCACACACACACACACACACACACACACACACGGCAGCGGCCTGTTCCACACACACACACACACACACGGCAGCGGCCTGCCCCCCACACACACACACACACACACACACAGCAGCGGCCTGTTCCCCCCACACACACACACACACACACGCGGCGGGCCGGGCGGCGGGCGGGCTGACCCCCCCTCTGTTGCAGGTGGATTACTCCATCATCGCTGCGCAGGCGGGGGCCACGCTGAGCAGCCTGCTGGGCCACGCCCAGGACCTCGTGGCCAAGCTGCGGGACCTGCAGGTGGACCAGCGGGAGTTCGTGTGCCTCAAGTTCCTGGTGCTCTTCAGCCTGGGTGAGGACCCCGGGCGCTCCCCCGGCCGGGCTCTGGGGGGGCTCCGGTCCACACGTGGCTTCCCTTCGCCGAGGCCACGCCCTCCGCCCACGGGAGCGTGGCTGGATGCATGCCCGGCGGGCAGCCCTCTCGGACGGGCCGGGGGCGGGAGAGCGGCCGCCAGTCTGAGATCCGGGGTCTTCTCCCTGCACGGCCACGGCGAGGCGGGCTGGGGGCGTTACGTGGCGTTTGGTGGGGGCCGTGGGGGGCGTGGGGCGCGGAGGCTGGCCGGCGGGTGTCGGCATGGATCCGTCTTTCTGCCGGGACTGTCCCCTGAGTCTTTCGTTTCTGCTTGCTGCCTGGGCTGTGGTTATTCTTGTGAAATGTGAATCGCAATAGTCAAGAACCTGTTTCTCTTAAAAAAAAAAATTAATTAAAAAAATATATATATATTGATTTCAGAGGGAGGAAGAGGGAGAGGGAGATAGAGACATCCATGAGGAGCCCTGACTGGTGTGGCTCAGTGGATAGAGTGTCATCCTGCAGACTCAGGAGTTCCGGGTTCGATTCCAGTCAAGAGCCTGTACCTTGGTTGTGGGCACATGCCCAGTAGGGGGCGTGCAGGAGGCAGCTGATGGATGTTTCTAACTCTCTGTGCCTGTCCCTTCCTCCCTGTAAAAAAAAAAAATCAATAAATATATATGTTTTTTTATGAAAAGAAACACCCATAATGAGAGAGAATCACGAATCGGCTGCCTCCCGCACGCCTCCTTCCTGGGGAT